AACTGCAAAGACTTACAGAATTTTAGAGTAAAAAAAAAAGAGAGAGAGAATTTAAAGGCCATCAATTATAAACTGTCACATAACACAGAGATTCCTTTGTGGATATTCTGAACATCTTGAACATCTATTGTCCTTTTGAAGAGCTTGCTTCCATGGTGTGGTAAAAAGATTATAGCACCTAGAGTCAGAGGACTTGGATTATAATCTGGCCTCATTTGTAGGATGATCTTGCAAATCGAGTAACATCATGAGCATCAGTTGCTTCGCTTGTAATATAGGGATAATCCTAACCCTACTTTATTGGGCTATCCTATATCTGAAAACATTTTCTAAACTATAAAGCACCATTACAGATAATTACTACATAATTATGTTTGTATATGGCATATATGAGACATGTGAGGTGGTATATATAATATGTGATCCCATTTCTTGAGCGTTAGACTGATGTAATTATTCCAGAAGTATTTTTCTTTGATTGAGCTCAGATTTATCTCCCCATGGTATTTGTGTATTATGGTTTTCCTCCTTTGTAACAATGTAGAACTGGTCCAATATTTTTTCTACCTAATTACTATATATTAACCAAGAAAGCTAGTAGGCTGAAGCTGTGTTAATTTAGGTCTATATTGTATGGAAAAATTTCCTGACATCTGGAACTTTAGGAACACAGTTGGATCTCCAGTAAAAAGTTTAAAAGGCATTTAAAATAAAAGGAATTCTGAGTTTAAGTGTGTTCATGTGGCTTTTTTTCCCATATATAATTGAAGATTATATTTGGTTTGATAAAAATCTTTCCCAGGCATCTTTAATTGTAAAGCAGTGAAGTGGAAAATTATGGTTTTACACAGCTAATTTATATACTGTCTTTAGGGGGCAGTACTAAACCACTGATAAATTTTGTTATTTCTGCTAATGTTACTGGAAATGGTTAATATAAAATAAAACTAAAATAACAATAATGAGATTTGTGATGCAATTATATACACCCCTTAATATTAGTAAAATTTTTTTAGGTAGTCCTATGAAAATTACATTCATTTAATAATCCATTCAATAAATAATTATCAAATTCCCTTATGCACAACACATTGTGAGAGAGACAAATGTGAATAAGGCAGTTTGCTTTCAGATAACTTAAAATTATCTAGAATAAGTAAGGCATATGGTAGTGTGTGTGTGCTGTGTGTGTGTATACAATTCCTTCAGGATAAAGATAATAAAAACAGCAATATTTATTGATGATTTTTACATGACAATTACTGTCAGGCAATTAATTTTATACTCATACAGCCCTATCAAGTAGGAATTATTATTATACCTACTTTGCAGATAAGGCAACTAGGTTTAATAAGATATGTGATTTGCTCAAAGTCACACAGCTTGAAAGTGGCAGTGCCAGGACTTAAACGTATATCTATTTGACTTCAAAGCCACTGCTCTTTGCCGTTGCCTTCTATCATCTCAAGGTGCATGTGAAATATCATAATATACGCACTTACACAAAGAGCTAGAGATATTCAGAAGACAGCGACATCATTTCTGTTTGTGGGAAATCTGGAAAATTTTATGTAAGAGGTGAAATCTGAACTGTATTTTGAGGAATCAGTGGGATTATAAGAGAATAATAGCTAAAAATGGTAGTTAATATTTATTAAACCTTATTATTTGTCAGCCACTTTATATTCATTACCTCAGTTAATTACCAGGAAAAAATTCTGAGGGAGGTTCCACTGCATTATTTTCCTATTGCATAGATAAGGTAAGTGAGGCTGACAGTGGTCATATCTGATGAAAATCACACTAACAAGAAGGCTAATAAGTAGGCAAGTTGGAACTTGAATCCGGTACTAATTTTAGTGCCTAAACTCTTAACCAGTACAATATGCTGTACGGAGAAGTAAGATGGGAGGCATGAATAAAACATGGAGCATGATTAGGAAGGGGTAAACAATTCCACTTGATTTTAGTCTAGGGTGAGTGTAATAGAGTAAGAAAAGGGGCTGATAGAAACTTGAAGCCAGATTAAGGGATTTGGATATTATTTGCTGTGCAAGGGGAAATAATTGGAGATTTATGAGCAGGGAAGAGACATAAACAGAGTTTCTTTGGGGAGGAGAAAGAGGCAGAGGAAGAAAAGAACTGATAAATCTATGAAATGTCGATAATTCCTAGCCAAGTACGTAATGATTTACAGTGGCATGCCATGTGAACACTGGTGATCATGAGTTGGTAAAGGAGATGCCTATTGGTTATTTTGTTCATTTTATAGGCAGCATTGATCATATGTGTAGAGGCTCTTACCAGATTAAGGTTTTACATGTCCCAAAATTTTTTTCACCCAGATATCTGTAGGATCAAAAATCCCTGTGATAATCACATTTTATTATTGATTTGAGAAATGTGTATTGATGAAAATATGGGCTGCTATGTACTAAATTACAAAAATTTTCATTGGCTGTCACAGATAGCAAAATACTTTCAGGAATATCGTCATGTAGCAGAAATGTATTGACAAATATGCTTCTTTGATTTCAACTGCAATTGCATCAGCTTGGTTATCTAATATAGTGCCTTTTATAGGATATTGTGCTGAATGCGAAGCCACACCACATAGTGGTTAAGGGGATAAACTCTAAGGTCAGGCAGTCTGGGTTAAAATCCTTTTTTTGCCACTTACCAGCTCTATGGCCTTGGGTTTTCTTGACCTTGAGTACTTTGGTATTTGCCTCAGAGGGTTGTTGTGTGAATTAAAATAATGAATTAATAATCCTATGATACTACACTGTCACATACTAAGAGCTCAACAGATTATAGCTGTTACTATTATTGTATCTTACAAACAGTAACTGACTGAGGGACTAAGTTCATAATTTCTCAATTATTGAAAATTGATGAAATTTAAAATGTGAATGCAGAAAAACAAAGTCTTATAAAGTCTTATATTCTATGTTTTAAGAGAACAACTTTTGGGGGGGTGTGCTATTTACAGGTCAATATATATAGTGTCTTGACTAATTTTAGCAATCATGTATCACTGTTGTGCTGAACACTACATTCTGAAGATTTTTAGACAAACTTATTGTCCTTTTTAAAACAAAATTTAGTCTGATCAGCATTCAGCAGGCTCTTTGAATATGGAATTTTGCTTCAGTTCTGGTAAAATTTCTTGCATTGTTTCTTTGATAATTTCCTCCCATCTCTACAGGGACCTCTTGGTTTGCTCCTCTAGTTTTCTTATCTTTTAACTTCTCTTCATCTTTTGTTCTATCTTCTGGGAAATTTCCTCAGACTTGTTTTCCAACTCTTCTATTGGATATTATGTATTTATTTGTTTTGTAGCTTTTGGTTCTTGTTTCATAGATGCAAATATCTTCTTGTTTCTCTGAGGATACTATTGGTAACTTTTTCTATATACTTATTTTGGTCTCTGTTAAAGGCTTCCTTCACATACATAGTGATCCTTGGGTTCTTATTCATATTTCACTAAAATATTAGGAACTGTTAATGTGGTGGAGCTTGTTGAGAGGTGGACTTCACAGAAGGGGTTAAGGCGTAGACCCCCACCATTTTCCTGGGTAATTATAGATCTTTTTTCTTGGTAGGTCAATTTCTGCAGAGAAGAATATATTCTAGTCTCCTACTTGGGGATATAAACCTAGCTGCCATGTTCTCTCAGGCAAATTGTGGGAAGGCCCTGGGGTGGGTTGAGAATCTACTTTTACTACATAGATATTCAATTAATTGCTTGGTTTTTAGAGAGACACTCCTCTGCTGATTTTGCATGGATTCTTAGAATTCATAATCTCTTTGCTTCAACCTCACCAGAAAAAAAACCTCCAATTTCTGGTCAGGTGGTGAAGGTTTAGTTTCTTGGCTGGGTGAGAAGGAGATGGGTCTAGAGGTCTAACTCCTTCTAATATAGAGTTTCTATCCTGTTTGAGCCCCACTTGTACCCACACCTTCACAGGTAGTCAGTCTCTCCAATTCTTAAGTCCTTTTGAGGGAGCTGAGTCATGAAGAGACATGCTATTTATTCTTCCCCCTGGCAGGCACTTACCTTTCAGTTTTCTCAAGTTTGCTAAATCAGGTAATACCTACCCATCTGTTTATTATTATTCAAAAGTTTTCCTGATATTGCTCATCTGCTAACATCTCTCCTGTTGTCCTCGTCCTTATGGTTTAGACCATTTTTACAAACCTCTGCTATCATTTTAGTGGGATTTGGAAAGTAGCAAAAGTAAATGTATATGTTCAACATAGAAGTCCCATTATTAATTTTAAAAGTATTACCCCTTTCTTATGTATAATATAAAACTTTATGAAGGTCATTTTTTCAAAAAGGAGACTACTTTTTTCGTGACACTGTGAAAAAATGGGCTTTTTAGCAATTCCTATTCCAATAAAATATTTTCATGCTGTTCCTCTGATTGCATTTAGAAATCAGAAGATTTTTCTCATTTGTTGCTATTCAAATATTTTCTTGGGTCATTTTCATGTCCTATTCTTCGTTATGAACTTTGTATCTTATCAGTGTTTCTTACCCAGTTTATTCACTTTCAGTTTTTTTCACTTTTTTTTTTTTTTTGTGAGGAAGATCGGCCCTGAGCTAACATCTGCCAATCCTCTTTTTGCTGAGGAAGACTGGCCCTGGGCTAACATCGATGCCCATCTTCCTCCACTTTATATGGGACACCGCCACAGCATGGCTTGACAAGCCGTGCGTCGGTGCGCGCCTGGGATCCGAACCGGTGAACCCTGGGCCGCCACAGCAGAGCGTGAGCACTTAACCTCTTGCGCAACTGGGCTGGCCCCAGTTTTATTCACTTTCAACTTAAAATTGAATTATACATGTTTTTTGACTGAGTCACAAACTATGGCTAGAATTAAGCTGATTTTTGCTTGCTAACATATAGCATAAGAAATTTATGTAATTTAATTGATATTAAGATATCTAAATAATATTGATATAATATATTGGTATATAAATTTAATTTCAGAGAACTTCATCTACAATAAATTTGTCACCAGGAGAAGTGGAAGAAGAAGATGATGATGAAAACACCTGTGGGCCTTCAGGACTCTGGGAAGCATTAACTCCTTGTAATGGATGTAGGAACCTTGGCTTCCCCATGCTTGCACAGGTAACGGTTTGCTTTTCTCAAGGTACAATGAAACATAAAAATGGTTGGCTATATTTTTAAGTAAATCTTTTTTCCCCTTTGAAGATACAATTAGTATCTTATTCACTTTGTAATTTTTCTTCAGTGAAAGGTCAGTAAAATGTTTATATAACTTGCTGTACATTTATGCATATGCAAACACACACTTTACATATTTTTATGTGGTTATTTTATTTTGGTCATGATGCGAGGTCCAGAAAAATTGAGTTGTTTATGAAGTTTTACTATTTATTATCTAGAAATATTTCATTTTAAAGAAAGCTATTTTGAAGTTAAATCACAATTTGTATGAAAATAATAAAAAATGATTTACAAGGAAACATACTAGGGCTCTTTAAAAGCATAGTCAGTGATTTTTTTTTCTTAGCACAATGGAACACTGTAGAACAGTGTGTGCCACTGAGGATTATGCAGTACAATCCAAAAATGAGACCAGAACACTAAAACATTGACTATAATTTTGAAACCATTTCATTCTTCATTAAATCAATTTTAATTCTTTTGTATCACCTTCAAATTCCTGTTGTGTGCTATGGGCCATAAGCCTTTAGAGGAGTTTCAGAAATAAGTAAAGTCAAACGGAGTTATGTAATTTGAAGCCACAGTGAAAATACCTCTACATAAAGACGAAAAAGCACTTAATACAAAAAGCAGGGTAATGGCAAGGTATGTATGTGTAACTACATAGAGCATGGATGGAAAAATAGTCTAGCACAGAAAATAATTCACAGTAGTTGACCAGAATAGTGTTATATCTCAAAAATATTATTTTCTGATTTGCAACAAATATGAAGCTATCATATCCAAGAAAGCATCACATTTTTCATGTCTATGTCAAGGACAATTTGATCATAGCCACTCAAATTCCAATATTGATTTATTGTGGAGAGCTAAATAGGATAATCAAATCAGCATATAGTACTTAAAGAATCTCTTCACCTTAATATGAACTATTTATAGGACTTGAAGACAATTTATCCTAACCATTAGAAAATTGTTATCAGTATATTCTGGACTGTGAGTTCCATAAAGGGAGAGACTATGTTATTGCTCAAAATCCATGGTCTAATGCCAGCATGGTTCCTGGCATATTGTCAGACTTAAGTAATAGTTGAATGAAATGATGAGCCAACGTGTATATTCTAGGATTTCAATTCTTCACTTAAAGTTTTTATGTATAGAGTTTTACCTCATATTTACAAGGGTAAGGGATAAAGGAAATTAAGAAACATAGATTTCATTTGATTAATATACCCTCATCTGCTTAGTAGTTGACCAATAACTGAATGCTTTTACCTATTTTTTTTTGTTTCACAAAATTGCTATGTTTGTATTTTATATTTTAAAAGGTAGAATTCTTGGAAAGTATTAGGGCTCTAAGCGATCAATAATATATGACTATATCTGGTTCTCCACCACCTTACTAACATTTACTTTTATTTTTTTCATTTTAATTGATTTTATTAGACTTAGTAGTAACTTGCCTTTGGTTTATAATTTTTTAATATTTGATATTTTTCTTTGGCTGTTTTTCTTTGAAGGCTGGCTGGTATTGTTTCAATAAATATTGAATATCAATATTTTAGTAGTTACATTTACCACAAAATGTTTCCCAGTCTGCAGCTTTTCTTTTTTTTTTCTTAATTTGTGTGTGTGTGTGTGTGCATATGTTGTGTACATTTTTAAATTATCAAATTTATTAAACTTCTCAGTCTTATCTTTTGTTTAATTCATCTCCTCTAGAATTCCTTTTAACAAATTCCAAATATGGCTCTATATTTGTTTTTTACTTGTTTGTATCTAGTTTTTCTATGACTTTCCATTGGACAATAATTCCCATTCCTCTCACTACATATATTTCATCCTGTTTGGTTTGGGTTTTCTGCTGAAATCTCTTATTTCTGTTTTCCTATTATTAAAACCACATGACTCAGTTTTGGTATTTTTACACATAATATATGGCAAGAGAAATCGTTATTGCGTTAAAACTATTAGCTGACGTAGTTGCCTGCTTTTTAAAATTTATATTTTATAATTACATTGTCAAGTTTAAAAAGTATCCTTATTGGGATTTTAAGTGTTACTACATTAAATCTATAAATTTACTTAAGGTTCAGTATCTTTTTTTTACTGTATTTAATCTAACAAATTAAGAGTAGAATTCTTCTACTAATGTTCTCAATTTGTTGATGGAGTCTCCTTTAACATTTATATATACATGCACATATTATGCATGTAATATAATTACAATAAAATTGTTTAATGCTTAATGGTGCAAAACCATAAAAATACTTTTACATTTTACAATAAAATTAATGTGCCGTGGTTTATTTCTTTAATGTAGTTTAATACACTCATTATGACGCTGGAGCTGGAGGCATCATATCTAATTAGATTTATCCTACAACTTGCATCACCTTTGAACTCAAGATTTTATGGACATATGACTCTATTATTCATAAAATTTTAAGAAAACTTTGTTTATTTTGAAGCTATTTTTTTCCAGATCTGAAATATTTTTGGAGGCCGCTAAAAATCATTAAGCCATAAGCACTGTGCATATTGGGCCTCATGAAAAACCACTACATTACAGTTTGGTACAGGAGACTTTGGGATCAGTGGAATTAATATAGTGCTATGCAAATTTCTCCAAATTCAAGTTATACTTATTTTGCAGTTATAACCCTTAATTTAATTGGATCTGGCAAACGTGTATGAAGTATCTTCACTCGTTAAAGCATAATGCTAAGCTTCAAAAACATGAGGATTATGGAAATACAGACTTAATTGGGAGCCACATTACCTGTACATTCTGGTTCTGGGTTATAAAACTATGTGATGTATCACTTTTAGACTCTTAAATAGATATTTTACTCGCAAAATTAGAACACGGGCTGATCCTGTGGCTCTTACCCTTCTAAGATTATCTAATTTCCAGTTTTTGTCTAGATTTTGATTTAATCCTATATTCAGATTTTATCTAATTTTTTCCAATTTCCAGTTTTTGTCTAGATTTTGATTTGATCTTATATTCAGGTTTTATCTAAGTCTGTTTTTTAGTTTACTTTTATTTTTTTGTTTTTTTATTTCAGTTTTTTTTATTGAGGTAACATTGGTTTACAACGTTATATAAATTTCAGGTGTACGTCATTGTGTTTCAGCTTCTGTATAGAACACATTGTGTTCATCACCAGAAGTCTAGTTTCCATTCATTACTGTACACATGTGCCCCTTTACCCCTTTCACACTCCCCAATCCCCCTTCCCCTCTGCTAACCACCAGTCTGCTCTCCATATCTATGTGTTTGTTTGTTGTTGTTGTTTTATCTTCCCATATGAGTGAAATCACACGGTATTTGTCTTTCTCTGTGTTTTTCTAATTTTTATATGGCATTTTATCCTTCCATTGTGACTAGATTATTGAAGTTCTTACAAGAAGCAATCCTTTCAAATTCATGAAAATTTAGAATTCTAAATAACATCAGGGGATTAAAATTAAGATTTATAGAATATGTTGGGCACTTTAGTATAATTTCAAAGCAGTTAAGATTTAATTTGGGCAAAGAATTAGAAAAGAAATTAAGAATTGAGAGACTAAGAAAATGAAGCCCTTTCTAGAAAGTATAATTAAACTCAAATTTGTTTTTCAACACTCCTGACAATAATAATCACTACCATTTACACAGTGCCTACTATGTGCCAGATATTTCACGTGTATAATCTCTAATTCTCAAAGTAACCATTTAAAGAAGGAAACAGGTAACTTACTCAAGGTCATAGTTCATGTTAAAATAGTTAAAAAGTATGATATCATGTTGGTTTTCTGGTTTCATTTACATTGTCCTGCTTCCTATTGGTTGCTTCTGTCCCTGGTCATATATTTTGGAGATTTTAGAATATTCTTTGGCTAATAAATGCAGATCATAAATAGATAAGGATCTCAGAGAGTAATCTTTAGCAGTTTATTTTGTCATCTGTTCATTTAATCACAAAGATCCAGTTAAGGGAAAGTTAAAGATGGTTCAGAGCCTGATTGTAAATTGTCGTTAGTTTTCTTGCTACCCTTTCCTGTTAATAGAGCGTATGTTGTTAGAGCAGAGAATTTGAGTTGAATTGTATTATGGTGGTTGATATTGCTTTCCTCTGCAGTCTTAGATGAGGTGTCCACCTCTGTACCATGTGCGCTACTGGGCTTTGAGGCTCTTTTCTAAAGAGTCAAATCCTGCTGGCTGGAGACCCTCTGGCTTCTATCCTGTTTGCTGACGTAGCCTTCACTCTGCAAGATTGAGATGAGGGGTCCTGATACTGAGCCTTTGTTTTGGCAACAGGCTTACCAGTAGTCTCTGCTCCTGCAATCACCATACTCACGCTGCCCTCTGGGGAGAGGCCAGCAGGTCTTACTAATGTGTTGGAAGTACCTTCTGAGAACAAGAAGAAGGGCTTTCAGCCTTGCTAACAACAATATTAAGACATGTTGAAAGCATCTACTATGGCCATTCTGGCTATGCTTCCTTCTGGGTCTGTGAAGGCTGCTCCTACTAGGGCTGTGTTTGTTTCTCTTCTAAGTCTGTAGAATTGGTTGCAGCCACATCCATGGCACCTGTTGTTACCACTGCCCCTGCCGCCACTCCTGCCCTTTTATCAGGCACTGTAGGTTTTGTGGCTGCAGAAGTATATGAACTGTCGAATGCAGTATATGTGGGAGGCATGCTGAATTAATTCTTCCCAAGCGTAACCATAATGGGTGGCCCCAAACACTTCAGGGTTCATGTGAATGTTCCTGATGCTGACTTGATCCTGATTCCTTCCATAGAAGTGAATGGCATTTGCCTGGGGGAAGACAAATAAGTGAAGTAAAGAAAGTGAGACCATAAAGGGCTGTTCCCTTCTATTCCAATAGCTAAACAAGAGCTTATAGGAACAATTTTGAGGTCTCAAGTCCAATCTGTCATTTGATGCAGGAATCCCCCCTACAGTATCCCCACAATGACCACAATGATGGTTCCAGTTTTGCTTAACAGTTCCAGTTCCAGTGAAGCACTATTATAATTCACTAGCGAATATCCTCTTTTTTTAAGTACACTCATGTTAGTATTCTACTTTCAAGTGTATGCGCTTTAATATTTTGATAGTTACTAAGAAATTGTGCACATGCACACAAGCACATTGCACTGCCACTGATGTATACAAAAATCAGTACATGGCAGTCATGGGGAGATATTATGTCCCACAACATACCAGTCTACCTTGGTTGGAGTATACGTTCAAGAATAGAGTGGATGATCAGGATGCTGCAGATGGCAATACAATAGTGGATATGAAATTAAGAGTTGCTGACAGCTAAGGGATATCTGAAATACAGACTTGGGGAATACTTTGGAGAAGCACTAGGAACCTCCCCAACATGGCATGGCCTCCAAATGGAGGCTCATTTGGCACTGAGTCCTTCCAAATGCAATGCATTTTCAAGGTAAGCCTCAGTACCAAAGGCTCTGCAGGACCTTTAGCTGTTCTCCCAAAACACCCTGGTCCTGTCTTCTAGACTCTGCAAAGACTTGCCGCTGGGCTCTTGACCTCTTCCTCAAACCCAGTTATGTCCAATGGTGTCCCCGGCTGGGATGGCCTGGGTACCACTGTAAGCCTTCACTGGTGGTCTCAGGATGTAAACGAGGTTTTCTCAGAGAATGAAAAGATCTCTTGTATCTGAAGGGGGACACAGCTGAAGGTAAAAAGAGTGGCCTGTGGCAAGCTTCAGGCAGAGCTGTTGTTTTTTACTGTTATGGATGGATATCTTTACAAACTTCAAGGGAAGCAGCCTAGTTAGCTCTAAGATCTGTGTAGGTTTTTTACCTCTTTCCTGGATGGCGGGGCTATATCTGTTATAGTCATCAAAGAGAGCAGCTGATTGGGCCAGCAGCATGATGTCAGGTAGTGTGAGCTGGGGGCTGGTGTGAACAATGCCCGCAGTCACCATTTGGGCACTGTTGTGCACATCAATCGCTTCTCCTCTTTTGCTGACCTGTATGAAGGATCACTGTCAAACACTGGTGCATTCTTGAATATAGTATACCTCCCCTTGTGCCAGTTGTTGCTGCAGTTTCCCCATGGGGGTATTAAACATGCCCATTGCAGGACTGTTTTGGGCTGTGTAATACGGTAACTTAGATTGGCTGTTCATAACTATCTTTTATCAAGACAGCTCCTAGGGGCTCCTCCACACCTTCCTTACCACAACTTGCAGGATGTCTTATTTCCCTGGTCTCTTTAGCAGGTGGGCTAGCCATTGTCTTCTTTGGGCTTTTTTCTCTCTGAGTGACTGAGGACAGGGTGGAGGTGCTGATTACCGACTGCTCTATGCTAGAGACAATTGCTTCTGGACCGGACTGTGCCCTGCCTAGAGTATGGAGATGTCAGGCTGCACAGTTGTTGAGTCCCGCGGAGGTAGGGGTCCCAGCATAAGTCAGAGTGTGCAGATGTCGAGGCGTGCAGATACTGGTGTTCACTTGGGGTGGGTGGGGGGAACCTCTTTTTAGCCTGCCCGTTCGCAGTAGCTTCTGCTCTTTGATTCAGCAACCTCAACTGCCAATCGTAATCCCACTGCTCCTCTCCCCACTCCGGGAACGAAGCCTCCATCCAGGCCTAAACCACTCTGCAGGACCACTTTTATCCTCTCCTGCCCTTTGTGACCTGTGCCCATCACACACCCCTTTGTCTCTGTCACCCAACAGCCACTCCCTCAGAGCAGGGACCCTGTCCTCTCCACCTCACCCACCCCCTCACCATGGCCACTCTACCTGCCACAGTTCAGCGAAACCCCCCCACCCACCCCGAGGGACCCATCTGAGGATCTTAATACATACTGGCAAATTGCTTTCAAAAAAGGTTAGGCAAACTGTTAGGTATGAATTTAAAATACACATACTCTCTTATCTAGCATTCCTTAATTGTGGAAAATTAGAATTAATTGTAGACGATTTACCTTAAAGAGAGAATTGGACAAGTTGGTAAACAGGTTAGTACAGGATGTTTATCAATATTTATTGTAGCAAAAAAGATCGTAAACAAGATTATTATCTTGCAATAGGAGTTTGGTTAAATAAATTATGGAGCATTCTATGATAAAATACTCTGTAGCCATAAAAATGATTATGTAATTTCCTATTTATTGAAATGAAAAGATATCCCTGACATTCTTTTTTCTAAAAAAAAGAGCAAAGCAAACAAATTCCAAACTAGCATTATATGCATGGTCCAATTTATGTAAAATCATCTGTGTGTTTGGCTATGAAAGTATGTTCAATGAAATGTTTAAAGTGCTTGTCTCTGGATGGTGTAATTTTTGTTTTCTTCTTTATACTTTCTGTTTTTATTAGGGTGATTGTTATTTCTATTAACTGGAAGAATAAAGCTATTTTTATTAGCAGTGTCTATTGTTATAGCCATGATTTGCTGTTTTTATGTTTTTAAACACAAAAACATTTATGTTTTGACTAACCCTCAAATTGCTGATGAGATTTTTAAGCTTTTGGCTAGACATGTGTACCCTGCCTATACAGTGAAAAGAACGTTAAATATCATGTTTATGTTCTGTTCGTCACCCATTATCAAATTATATATAAAAATAAGGTCTGAGAAATTTTGCCAACTATTATAAATGTTATCAATTCAGTAAGATTAAAATATCTTTATTGGCACAACAATATACATAACACACACATTTATATACAGCCATAGTTTTTGAGTCTTTAGTTTGTTCTATAGGTCAAAGCAGAAATTTTCTTCCCTTCGTATTGAAATATCTGATTATTTCTGGTAATATGAGAATTTTTCCTTTGTTTGTTGAGAGGCCTATTCACATATCAACAGCAATTCTTACTGGCATGTCCAAAGTCCTTATAACTTAATTTCCACTTCGTGTCTATATTACTTATCTTGTAATTAGCGAAAACAATAAGCCTAATATATGTGTAGTAATCAAACTAACATTTTTAAAGTATCCAAGTGGTTCTGGTATTTTTTGAAAGGAATAAGTTGCATTGGGATTAATAAGGAATAAGTATATAATTTAATTTAGGTGCTTTTTAAAATATAAAGTGAAGATATATCAATTTTTTTTAAAAGCACTTTAATGCCTTGCACATATATTACAAGATATTTATCTTAGGCTTCCATTAGGGCACTGAGTTAATTGCCTTGTCTCCAGGGAAACCAGAAACTATATTACTGGTAGGGCCTATGGATTTTTAGAATTTTTTCTAAACTAATCATTAGACCAACAACAGTAGAACCTCTCTTATTTGGCCCAATAACCATCACGTGTAGCATTCTGGCAAATAAGTCTCTATTTTTATGAGTCAGATGAAGTTTTTTGAAATTCCTCTAGCTATTTGGAAAACTACCTTATTAGTATTTGCCTCGATACTTAAGAAGCTCAGATGGCTAAATAAAAATCTACCTGAAGCTGAGATTAAGAAATTCTTTTTATGAGAATGCAGCAGCTTTCTGTATGCTTACTCTTAGAACAGATTTCCATATGGTTAGTCATTAGATATTCTTAAAATAAACTTGTGCTCCCTCTCCTCTACATTAGAGTTTGCATCACGGAGTAAGTCATTTAACTTCCCTGGGTCTTATTTTTCTCCTCCTTGCAATTGGGATGATCCCTTAGGTATCTTTCAACTCCAGAATAGCTTTGGTTTTGTGATAGGGGTTTAACTTTTCCCCTCCTATAATAGAACTACTACATACTTTGGAAATACTCCAAACAATAATAATGAGTTAAGGAATTATTTAGATATCAGCATCGCTGGGAGTTGTGTGATTCAATATATATTCTTATTCTGTTGCTGAATTTCTTCTTGCTGAAACTTTTAAAAGAACCAGTGTTTGAAATTTGGAAATGACGAGATGTTAGTTCAGTAAGATGGTCAGACAGTGGGGCAGTGCTTAAAACAATGTAATTGAAAATATGAGTTGGACATTTCAGACACAATTCAGTTAATAATGAACATGATTGTGGTAGGCAAGTTAATTCCCCCAAAAGATGTCCACATCCTAATCTTCACAACTTGTGAATTTGTGACCTTACATGGTAAAGGAACTTTGTAGATGTGATTAAGTTAAGGATCTTGCGACGGGGAGATTATCCTGGATTGCCTAGGTGGACCCAATGTAATCATAAGGGTCCTTATAACAGGGAAGGTGATATGGTGAGGAAAGCAGAGAGAAATTTAAAAATGTTATGTTGCTAGCTTTGACGATGGAGGAAGGAGCAAGGATTGCAGGTGACCTCTTGAAAATGAAAAAGGCAGGAAACAGATTTCTCTCCTAGAGCCTCCAGAAGTCACTAGTCCTGCTGACACCTTGATGTTAGCCCTGTAAAACTCCTTTCAGACTTCTGATCTCAATAACTGTCAGAGAATATATTAATGCTGTTTTTAAGCTACTAAGTTTGTGGTGATTTGTTACAGTAGCTAAAGGAAACTAATACAATGGCTATGGACATTGGGTGAGTAGACATTTCATATGTTATATACCCATTCAAGGAGCAGATGCCTGTGGTCTATATCTAAGTAGAAAGTAGGAGATACAGGCATATACAGAGGAATGCATTTTAGCTTTACTATCAAGCGTTCATTTGATCTAGGATTTTATGATTTTATGCAATCATTTTAATAAATTTTAAAATAACTGAACTAAAACTTTACCATTGGAAAGGCTCCATTTTGTATATTTTTAGGAAAGTATAATGACAATAGTAATGTTAACAATAATATCTAGCATTTATTGAGTGCCTAGCACATGCTAGGTACAGAGATAGGCACTTTATATTCCTTATTTCACTTAAATTTCACCACAATCCTATGAAATATTTTCACTTGACCTTGAGAAAATTGATTTTTGAGAGATTAAGTAACTTGCCCAAGTTTGCCTATTATGTGTGATCTAAAACCCATGTGAATACTTTTCTATGAAATTATAAAACATTTTTTAAAGAGGGCCCAGTTTCTCACAATAAGGTAAACCTGTATACTCTTTACTGCTCAATATTTTTCACTGTAGCATTTCTCTGTTTCAGAGGACTTCAGTAATTATTGATGTCACTCTTGTCTAGTGCGTATCCAATTGATTTATCATTTCACGTTGTGCTTCCAGGGTGGTTCAGCTGCTAAATATATTTATTATTTATCCTACAGATTAAAAAAATTGTTAATTTGATAAGAATCTCAATTCATTTAGAATCCCTCCACATTTCCCTGTTCTTTTATGCATTCATCCATCCATTTTTTTCCCACAAATGTTTATTGACCATTTGTTATACGTAGAATATGGAGCAGTAAACAATATAAACGTGCATCAACCCTCATGTTGCTTATAATTTTGTGCCACATACTGTGAATGATATAAAATAAGAAATGTACATGGTTTCTGCCTTGATGAGCCTTACAATTTAGTTGAAGTAATTGTCTTGACTGCTGTATAATCTTGGACAAGTAGTTTACCTTCTGCTTCCTGTTGTTTAAAATAAAGAGGCTAGTTCTTGTTTATAGGATTGTTATGAAGATCTTACAATACGAATGCAAGTTTCTGTATAAATTCCTTGCTATACAAATACAAATTTATCTTTTTCTGTTCAGTTCTTGGTTTCTGGAAACAACACTGGCAATTTTGGTAGGATTTGCAGGTTAAAGAACGGTATGTATAGTACAAACCAACCTCGTATAATAAATGCATTAAAATATGTGCTTAGAAAGTCTGGAAGTATATTTACTATGCTGTTAATAATAGTTATATCGAAGGCTTAATATTCCAGTGGGACTTTAACTTCCTACTTTATATACTTACACTGTGTTTGAATTATTTACAACAAGCAGATCTAATTTTCTAATAAAGATTTTATATTTTGTGAGAGCAATAAATGCCATGAGTTGTAAAAAGTCTTGATGACTCATTATGTCACTGAGTTTCCATAGAATAGTTTGAAAATTAATGCTTACATCTGCACATCCATTCATTCATTGATCCCATCCATCCATTCATTTGCTCACTCACTCATTAATTCATTCACTTTTCATTCTAGTCTATACCTTTCTAGGCATTTTTGATTCAGTTGTCTTTAATCATTTAAATTGCTCTTTCAAGAGAATTAAGTAGGGACAGCTGGAAGATACTGTGGGA